TTTTCTTGCAGCTCGTTCTATTTACTGCTACGAATGCGACTCGTGGACGGATCTGAGATGCAAGGATCCATTCAATTACACAGCACTTCCGAGGGATCAACCGCCTTTGATGACTTGCAACGGCTGTTGCGTGAAAATGGTTCGCAACGCAAAGTCACGTGAGTGTTCACCTTTGCTTCTCGGTTTTCCCTAGTTTTCTCTCGAGTTTCATCTCGAGATATTTTTCATTGGTAAGACTGGGTTAATTCAAATTGAATTTCCCCAATGCACATTTTTTCTTTAATTTTCCTATCTTTTCCTTCGATTTCTTTTTCCACCTTTTCTTTCATCTCGAGAAATTCTTAATTCGTGAAAGGAAAAATTGGAAACACGAAGTTCATCTCGTATTCCTTATCACTTTTTTCGAAGGCCTTAATCAGCTCGCTGATGAACCTACCGCGTCGTAATTTACAATATTCCCCATTAGAAATTTCAAGGATTGAAACAGTCCTACTTACATTCCAAAGAATTCGTGCAATTTCTGTTTCTCTAAACTTCACTTGAAAACCTACACCCTCGTCCATAAATCACGGGACACCTTACCGTTTCACCATAAATCAAGTTTAGATGAAAGATTTAGTTACTTCAATCATGGCTGATATTTTCTTACAACGAATACAAAAAAAAACTGAAATATAACGAAGTTCAACACCGGAAATTGTGCAAAGCTGAAATTAACAGGTGTCCCATTGTAGACGAGGGTGTGCGTCAGATTTGCCACATACTCACGATTGTTCGTCTGTTCGCAGCGTATGAGAGCGTGAGGCGGACCTGCACTTCGCAACTACAAATAAACTTATTCATGGTGGACCACGTGTGCATGATGGAAAGTACCGGCACTGGTCACATGTGCTTCTGTGAGGAGGATATGTGCAATCGCGTCTCCCCAACCTCGTGTTCGAATCCCGCACTCCTGCTGATCCTGTCGACCATCCTTGTACTACGCTCGGTCATCTTAGGGAACCCAGCTTGCTTTGTAGAACGTTGCAATGGTCACGTCGTATAACACTAATTTACTCGATTCACCCGCCAGTGATTCCGATCATATCCTTCGTAGAGTTTTAGTTGTATAGAACTGTCGTCGGGACGAGCGATTTCTCTGTACTTGGATATAAGCGAACCTTCGTGTTCCTTTCCACGTTCGTGGCAAGCGAGAGGTAAGATATTACGTGTTTCGTGGATCGCAAAGGGAAGAGAATCGATCGATTTCGTTCGGATTAGATCTCTGTGCCATACTTGACGTTTCAACGATTTTTAACAATCGGAAGGATTTAGAATCGGGGATTCTTTTCTCTTGGAAGATTCTTCTGCACTCCGTATCGCTCATCCCGATCCTTTTTCTTCGGTATAGACAGTAGCGAAAAATCTCGACCGTCTCTTTTCTGTAGATACACCATTCGACCCTCTATCACTCTCACGATTTTTATCGCGCGCCCTTTGTGTTTCGTTTCTGCACTCATGAGAGCATACGTTGCGACGCGTTCGTGGTGAACGAAGGGGAGAAGAATTTTTTGAATTATGTCAAGGAGCGAGTAATTGGATTTTTAAATCTTATTCGGAGGTAAAAGTCTCTTTCTTTTGTCAATATTTTAATCTTGAGTCAATTTAAAAGAAAATGACCTACAAAATTTAAGTCTTTTTTTATTTAATCGTTGCAACAGAAGAAGTTATAGAGTTGAAATTTCGAGAAGAAAGCAATCGAGAAGAAAATGAGCAGTAAAATTCGAAGTGCCAGAGAATGATGCTTCAAATATTCAAATGAATCTTTCAATTCGATCAACGCGAAGAAAGTTCTTATGGACGTCTACGAACTTACAATTTTTCTGTTTCCCCACTTTTACGGTCATTTATCGTTGAAAAAGTTTCAAGCATCCGTTCCCCTTAATCTTAACTCTCACGAGCACTGTGACGATCGAATCAAGATTCTCTTGAGATATCTACGACAAATAATAGTGCAGTTTGTCTTAACGTTTCTTTCATTCTCAAACTTCTTTCACTCGCTTGTTGTCCTATATCTGTTCCGTAAACCGGGTTTCCAAGCGAACGTAGATCACGGAAATACGTAACGTAGGTGTAAATATTTGCAACGTTGTTCGATCATTGCAAGACATATAGGAGTTAATGTGTGTTCTAGCTGTATTAATTCACACATTTTACCGCTTCCCCGTTGTGCGCACACCTTGCACTGGGAGTGACGGACTTTCTTTTAAAGAAAATCTCCAAGTGACGAAGGATAATCGTGATCGAGACACAGAGAGAGAGATAGAGAAAGATGAAGAACCGTGGTAAATGTTAATACAAACGCATAGAAGTCGACTGTTGAAAATTTTTCATATATATATCTTGTTACTTTAAAGGAATAATACAAACTGCTAGTCGAATCGATATACAATATTATATTCCATATTTAGCCGGAGAGGTTTGATACGCGACGTTTATATACTGTTGTATTAAAGAAAAGAGAAAAAAAAAAAACAGAAAAGTATTATCAATCATTTTATTGCTTTCTAAGAATACTTGAATCACTTGTCTTACAATAGTACTTTAACATTGGAAAGTAACTTTGTAAATAATCGTTTACCAAGGCAATCTTACGAGGACCTTCAAATTTCTCAACTGCTTAAATCTTTATCTTCTATACGACGTAATTTGACTAATCAGTGTTACCAATTTTCTCTTCGAGGTTCGTCGAAAGATTCGATGCACAATATACGACATTCGATGTCTATGCACACACACATACACTTTGATTCATGTTCGATTAGCAGAAGCGACGAGTTATCTTAGAATTTCAATTCACTCTCTGTTTCTTGTCGTACCTTCGTCTCACGAACGATTGCCATACTTTTACCCCTCGCTGTTCTTCGTCACTGACGCCCCTGACGTAATTGTTCGCCCATTTGCCATTCTTGACGAGACACCGGTGTTTTTTGCGCCTCATGCACCATAAGACAGCGAAACGAGAATGGGCCATGGTACACGGAGCTTAAGGTAGACTATGGTCAGGCCGCATGGTTTCGGCATGCCCATCCGTCAGCAACGCCATGAAAAAAAAGCAGCGACGGCAGCCGGCGAGCATCGACAGCAGCATTTTTCGAGTTCTACGTTTCTCGAGTTTGACCAACGTGCGTGTGTCTTCTTCGACTTTCTTCGAATTCGTTGAAAAAGCAGACGAGTATCGTTCGAGACTAAAAGGACCATTCCGATCCGAGTGATTTGGCAAAGAGTCGAGGTTAGATTTGAAAATTGGAAGGAAGACCGAGTGAATCGATTAAATTCGTGGATCTGTCGGAGTTAATTTGTCGCAAGATCGACAGGCGAGAAGGCACACGCACGCGCCAATGTACCACGGTAGTGTTTAGTGAGTTCTGCAATCACGTATCTCTAGCAGGAGTGTGTTCGCACGTAGGGAGAGAGTGAAATTCGGGTGCATGGATTGTAGCACTTTCAGTAAATAGTGTGTTTGAAAGTCACGACAGAGGAAACGTTCAACGACGCTTTTTCCCCCCCGCCGGTGATAACGCTTTGCAAATTCGACAGAGACCGCGTGTACCGTCTACGTTACAGACATTCTTCAATCCCCATGTTTCGTTCCTCTGTCCCGCGACTTTTCGTGTCGCCGTGCAGCAACACCTTGCATGACACTTGCATGAATCTGTTGCTAGTGATTTTTTCGAAAGACAGACAAATTCCAAGCCCGTAGCCGTTGCTTCGTCCACGAAGGAGGCAAACTTTCCGAGAAACGATGGGCAATTCCATTCGAATCTTCCGGAATTTATCCAAATTTTTCGTCGTTATTAATTGGCAAAACGATAAAACGGAAGGAAAGTTTGTCTCGCAAAACGAAGCACAGCTCTGAAACAGTAACCCGAACACGAAACCTTCCACCCCGACGAATGCAACGCGAGGCAGATCGAACTAACAAAAGCACAACGTGGGCCTTCAGCTTCGATCGTGCCACGCCATTAATTGAACGCGTTGATCGAGGAGAGAACTCCGACGGCTTCGAAGCTTCGAAACAACAGTCTTTTGCTAGCGCGGGCGGCGATGATCTTCATTGCACGCAACGAGGTTTACTCGATGGAAGAAAAAGCGACGTAACGACTCGCTCGAGGACACTCGTGTTTCACGAGCTTTCGGCCACGCAGTTTCTTCGTTGTCCCATACTTTCAGGATTCTGGCTGGCACGGCCAAGTTGAACGCGCATGTCCTCACAGAGAGGCTTCCTTTGCGGAGCCTCTTGCCAAACAAGCTTCGGGGCTTGCGACCAAAAGCGAGCTAACCGGTGTTTCTCTGGCAAGCCATGCGGCTCGTGTCGCGTCATTTGTTCATTGTCGCACGCGCGGCTGCGAGGCTACTTCTATCTCTCGATTCTCCCCAGTTTTCTCGCGTTTCTTCTTCTATCTGTCTGTCCCTTTTCTTTTCAGTTTGTCATCGCTCCACCGATCCGCTCATCTGTGTCTCGTTTCTTTTTAATTAACGTCGAACTGTCGACCTCGAGAGTAGAAAATTAGAGATCGTTTCACGAGAATACGCTGTTCGTAGAAATGGCAGATTTCCAAGGGAGATTCGAATTGACGCAGGCAAAGGAGGCTGCAATGACAACACTGAATTAGCATGTTACACGAGTGAATCTCCATTTTTAAGTTTGGCCTCGCAGCTGGAAAGAATCCACATATTGCTACCGATACGAATACAATGCGAAGTAATGGCGGATATGCTAAGACGAATCTCAGGCAGCTCGATCGAACATCGATCTGACACTTGTCACGTTCTTTCTCTTCATTTTTCCACTAATTAAACTTGATACATATACAGAAATGTTTGAAAAGAATTTCGAAATTGTCAGATCGGTATGGATCGATCGAGGCTGTCTCGGTTTCGAGTAAACAACAAAACACAGGATCGATATTTCTCTTGTCCGCCTGTTTTACACGAAAGCTCATGTCCAAATGCTTGCATAAGGTTCGAGGAGATTATTATCAATGTACACTTTGTCTGTTAAAAATCGATGTTTACATGCGCCGAAATGCCAAAAAAAAAAAAAAAAAACAAAAACCTATTGTATCGACATGCTCTACACACTTTGATCTCGATGTTGATGAACATTGGGCATAATTTTTGAATGGTGTATGATGAATATATTTTACGATGCAAGTGTCAAAGACCTATTGATTATATCACCGTTGATGTCAGTTACATTGATTTTTAAGATGACTCTAGAGTATATCCGACATGGCATGAAGTGATGTTTCTGTTCTCGATGGCAAAAGTAGCGTTTTTACATAGAATACTTTGGCACGTAATTTCGTTGTCCCCCACGTTGCTCCAAACGGACACGATTTTCTTTCAAGTTTTACCCGATTCTCGCCTTGACGCATATATTTCTTATTATTTGAAGGTGTTCTTGTTGTTTGGAAGAACGACAACGTGTACAGAAAAGGAAATGAGGAGATGAATACGTAGTTTGTAAGGAGATTGGAAAAGTGTATCGGTCGTTCGAAAAATCATCGCGCGTTCATTTAACCCTTTGCACGCTTCGATATTTAGACCGTAAGAGATATCGACTAACAAGAGAACTGAAAGATCGATACACGTACTTTTAACGTAGGATAGAGACAATTAACAGTTCGTTCCGAACGTTTCTTTAATTTCCTCCGTTGGAGAACCTAACGCTTATGCTTTCTAACGCTTCACTACGCTACAAAGCGGCAAAGGGTTAACGCGTTCTACTCGAGAGAATTTCAATTACTCCTGGTGTGTATCTAACGAATAAAAAATGCGTTTCATTTTGCTGTTACATCGTCGCAGCTTCTTCGCGAAGAAGAGAGAAAGAGAGAGTGAGACAATTATTTCCTTAATGCACATATCGTTGCCTCCGCGGAGTAATAATTTCTGAGATAATAATTAAGATTACACGAATCGCTGGTATGAAAATAGTTAAGCGCTGTTTAATGGGTAAGCGTTACACGGTGAGAACTCTAACGAATATGCATTATCGAGCTTACGAACTAAACTCAGAGTCGGTTTTTTCTCGAGAGCTGTTTGTCAAGAATTATTTGCCCTAGCGTTTATTAATTTTTTACACGAACTAGTACGATAGCGATTATCAGACACGTGGTAGTGTGTTAAGCAGTGCTTAGCTATGAATCTGAAACGGTGACAATTGAACGCGTTACGTCAATATCGAGCGTGTAGTTGTAGATGTTAAGAAGTACGTATTACCTTGGTACAAACAACACGAGCGACGAGTGTATTGCGAAAGAAAATCGAAATACAAACAGAGGAAGGGAAGAAGAAGAAGAAAAAACACTTTCTGAGAAAAATTCAATCTTTCGTTAAACGAATCTTTCGACAAAAGAAGTTATTATATCTTGACCAAATGATCGCAGAGCATTAAATTTTAAACGCTTGTTCGACGAGTCAAAAATTCGAGGAAAATAACGATACGTAAATATTTTCATTGATCATTCGCAGATTTTGAAGGAACGATGTATTTATCCGAATTTTCCAGACGCTGAGAATAAAAGGGTTGTTCAAACGGTGCGACGTAAAGTTGTTCCAATTTGTAGTTAGAGAGACGTTCGAAGGGAGGGTATACGGATGTTACAAACGTTACGCGACAAACGTGTCTTCGGAATTAAGAAGCGAAGCGGTGATAAGGACGGCTGTATGGGCATATTGTAATTTAACGATTGTTAAGACGATTTAAAAATGGTGTATCAAGTCGTATGTCGCGATTTAATTGTTAACGCGAGATATAATAGAGTAATCAGATGCAAACAGGCGATACTTCGTTGACGTACCTCGATGCAAATATACGTGTATATGTACATATACGTTTTTCCCTTATCTTTGTGTCATTTTAAAGCGAATATTTTCGTCAGACGAATCACCGTTACGACGAGATCGTTTGTGAACTACGGAATTGTTAAGAAAAGAAAATAAGAAAGAAAGATAAGAAAATAAACGTGGCCTAGATTGGTCATATCCATTGTTCTGTCATATCAATGATTCGCAATAAAATTTATATGTCATTGACCTTACACTCTTTATATACATTCCTTGTACGTTGTTGCAAGAAAATTGCAACACCTGAAAACTAAAATTACACAAATCTGTAATTTACACGTATCACTTTTTTTTAAATTTTTATTTACCGGCGTGTAACCCTTTAGTGTGGAAAATTGAAAGGAAAAAATAATTGAAATTTGGTGAAAGAAGGTCATCTTTTCCTCAGAGTGGCCTGAAAAACTTGTGTCATTTCCAGATTTCTGCGATCCTAATTTTCAAGTGTTGCAATTTTTCTTGAAAACAGTGTGCTTAACAGAAATTCAGTTACACCAAAAATACCCCGTGTAATTTCCCCGTAGAATAAGAGAATCGGGGATTAAGTGGAATAAAGATCAAAGCGAAGACAGTAAATTCAGATTTATTATCGCAGCTGATTACTTTCTTTTCAACAATTTGTCGCGCGGCCTATTAGGCGGCACGCTTGAAGTCTGAACAACATAGAATCCATCGAAGACACGAAGGAGTACACTCAGTCGGGAACTGGCGCGATAACAGTTACGTTTATTCGGCTAACTTTTATTCCTTCTTCATACAGTAGCCGCATTTTCTACACACAGCCGCGTCCTCGTCGTTGCCCTCGTTCTCTATACCAGGATTCTCGCGTTGTCCTTGCATCGACGACAGATCACCGGTGTAAGGACGATGACCGATCGCGGCTATTGTCTCGCTCCTCGGTAGGCTACCTTCCGTTGAAATCATGGACGTTAGAGTGTTGGAGCTATCTTGAGTGACAATTTTCACGGAACCGTTCATCGCGTAATTCGACCGATTCACGGAGCTTTGTTTCTTCAACGGTTTGTCCGTTTTGTCGGGATCCTGAGACTCTTCTTGGGTCGTTGAGCCGGAAGCATCTGATCGTGTGAAATTTTAAGTAAAATTGATTTTTATACGTGTGAATTAAGTTGCGATCGGTTACTGTTACTTGCCATTGTTGCATTGATTAGTTTCGGATCCTGTCTCGCTTGTTACGGGATCTTCGTCCTCTTGCAGTGGCAATTCCGAGGACATTTCTATCGCTGGACGGCAACAAACGTACCCCTAACGTGTGCGATGAATTGTAGCGGTTGGAGTACGAGATATATGTGATAATGTTTTCTTAAAAAAATTATTTCGTATCTACCTGTACGAGATCCATACGAGAATCTAAAGAGAATTGCTTCCCTGACATCAATATTCCTCGAATTCGACGACGCATAGCTATAAACGAAGAAATTTTAGTCACGTTATTTCGATTTATTGTGTTAAATTTCTATCGAAGTTTAAATATATGAAATATATATGTAGGTAAATTGAAAGAAAATATATATTAATAAAATTGTTATTTTAAAATGAATAAAGTCTATAACACTTACATTACAATTAACTTGATAATATAGAATACTTAGTAATATATTTCGTGGATAAATTATGCAATAAGAAAAGTTATACTCTGAAAAATATTTAGATCGTTAGAGAACAAGTAGGAGAACCATTTGAATAACGCTAGTTTACGCGCCAGTCGCGCTGATTCGTGCAGCGGCCGAGGACTACCGAACGTGACCGAGGATACTCGACGGACCGACCAATAACCGAGGTGCGTCAATCTACGGTCGCGCGAAGTTCTAGGAGGAGACGCTCGAAACTTGAAATCGTGTTATTCGTAATTGTGCGTGTTTAGTGAATTGTGTAGTGATATTTGTGTGTGTTTGCAGTACTTGAATGATCTTGAGAGAACATTGGAATATAGGTAAGTGATTCGTACGTCGTTTTATCCAATAATATTCGAAAATAGTCTCCTCGTGTCGTACGAATTTCACGTTCGCAATTTTGTTCGTTTCGAACCTTACAGATTGCAAATACATATTTCACACAAAGTTCTACGTTATTCACTGTACTCTGTTGTGTTAATCGTTAACAGCTAGCTTGGCATATTTCAATTAACATAGAAGCAATTGACTTTTTTACGAACAATGCTTCAATTTTATATATTGCGTATTCTCGTTGAACCAGATGGCGTTCGTTGTTTAAGAATTGCGCGGGAAGTAATCTAATACGCGAAAAATAATTAGTTTTCCAAACGAATAGAAGTATTTTTCGTGAATGTATTGCTGTGTAATACGATCCAAAGGGAACAGCGTACAGATTTGTTTTGATGCTTTGGTATCTCGTTACTCGTGTACATCTGCTGTTTGTTATTGTTTTTTTTTACCTGGGCTGTCTCTAGCCTCGAGTCGTAGTTGACCAAAGGCCTTCGTGCATTCTTCGAACACGTCTGCCGTATCGTATATAGCAGCAAAGCTGCCATTTACGATTTTCGGTGACATTGGAGAATTGGCCAGTAACAAACTGGAACCAAAATTCTCGTTCTTTTCTCGGGTATCTGAAAATTAGAAATTCGATCATTTTTACGAAAACGTTCTTAAGTATTACGTTTGAAAAATAGAACTGTTTAAGAAATCAACGTAAAATAAAAAAGATAAAATAACAATTAAATTGGAAACTCGTCTTACCTGAGTTTTCTGCATTCCAAATAATATAGACATGCATTTTCATTAGAAAAAAAAAAGGAAAAGAAAAGCAAAACAACGAGATTAGAAATAAAATTGCTTATTATTGTTTGTACAAATAATGTTCTTTTTGTATGTAATCACAAATCAACTGATAACAAAGTACAAACATAAAATTAAAATAAAGGACTAAATTATTGCATTTGTTAATAGGAAATTAAGCAAAATTACAATTTGAAATAATTTATAGGATTCAGTATTCGTTATTGTGTGTTATTAATTTCAGTATTATTCTAATAATGTGTTATCATCATTATTCACATATTATCTCCCTAATAGGCCTTTTGTGAGCATTAATTATAATATTTCTTTGGTCAACCAGCGAAGGAAAAATTCTTTTCTACATTTGAATTGGAGTTTCGTTCGTTAAGAAAAAAATTTTTTTAAAACAGAAAACATAGAACCTCGCATACTTAGAAAAGCTGAAATAGAATCTTATTTTTAATTTAAAAAAAAAGTACTAGCTTACAGTTTATATTTGTTAGTGAATCATAAAGAGTGTACGTGCACAGTGTTTACCTCTGTACATTAAAAATTGCACGAAATTGATACAACACGCGGTTTTTTCAAGCCGATTGGTCTACCGTTCGATTCTATGTTACCTGCAAGTGGAACTCTTGCTCGAACAGGAGGTTGCGTAGTGTCCCCTAAGATTTCGTTTGCCGTATTTCGTATTTCAGCCCAGTCTCTTAGAATGTCCTCGTTGGTTGTACTAAAATCATAGTGAATCGTAATTTTTTTTTACAAATATTCGCATTTTCAGTTCTGTCGATTTGCAATTCGTAGGAAATTTATTGCAAAATTTGTCAAATTGCAATTTGATATTTAAAAGAATGAATTATCATTGTTTTTATGAATATTCGTATCTTCAACACTGTCGATTTGCAATTCACGGCAAATTTGTTGCAAATTTTTTGAAAATTTGTCAATTTGCAATTTGATATTTAAAAGAATGAATCATAGTTTCTTTATGAATATTCGTATCTTCAACACTGTCGATTTGCAATTCACGGCAAATTTGTTGCAATTTTTTCGAAAATTCTTCAATTAGCAATTTGATATTTAAAAGAATGAATCATAGTTTCTTTATGAATATTCGTATCTTCAACACTGTCGATTTGCAATTCACGGCAAATTTGTTGCAATTTTTTCGAAAATTCTTCAATTTGCAATTTGATATTTAAAAGAATGAATCATAGTTTCTTTATGAATATTCGTATCTTCAACACTGTCGTTTTGCAATTCACAGCAAATTTGTTGCAAATTTTTCGAAAATTCTTCAATTTGCAATTTGATATTTAAAAGAATGAATCATAGTTTCTTTATGAATATTCGTATCTTCAATACTGTCGATTTGCAATTCACGGCAAATTTGTTGCAAATTTTTCGAAAATTCTTCAATTTGCAATTTGATATTTAAAAGAATGAATCATAGTTTCTTTATGAATATTCGTATCTTCAACACTGTCGATTTGCAATTCACGGCAAATTTGTTGCAAATTTTTCGAAAATTCTTAAATTTGCAATTTGATATTTAAAAGAATGAATCATAATTTCTTTATGAATATTCGCATCTTCAACACTGTCGATTTGCAATTCACGGCAAATTTGTTGCAATTTTTTCGAAAATTCTTCAATTAGCAATTTGATATTTAAAAGAATGAATCATAGTTTCTTTATGAATATTCGTATCTTCAATACTGTCGTTTTACAATTCACAGCAAATTTATTACAAATTGAAATTAGCCAGTTAATTGAACGAAAGAAAAACTTACTTCGTCGAAGTGACGGTAAATCTGATCACGTATTTGCCATGCAAAGCAGCTGGCACACAATGCACCCGACCCCTCGAGTTCATTTTTTTTAACAAACGTTCCGTCAGACTGTTTTCACCGCGAAGACGAAACACAACGAGTCCCAAGTGTCTCGTTGCAGGGATTTCGAAGCGTGCATCGGCCAAAACTAGCGCTTCGAACTTTTGAGCCAATCTGACCCCCTAAAATAATTAAACGAAATTACAGCGAAACAACTTTCACTCTTACACATTATCCACATATACCTCCAACAAAAATCTCGCAACGCGTCTTTTTCCACCACGAAAATATCAACGATCTCATATTTTCAAACAACACCTCTCGATATCACACATCTTCGTAGAAATACTTATCGAATTAAAGATGCGTTATGAAACATTGTTGCAGGCGTGCACACAGCCTGCATTGCACTTTCTTAATACGCAGAAAGTATGATGTAATAGAAACCTCGCGAATATGTTTTTGAAGGCCAGTGATTCCGTAATTTCTAATGACGAAC